GGTCTTGGGCTGGGGGAGGGAGGGAGAGAGAGAGAGAGAGGGACAGTGAGAGAGAGAGAGAGAGAGAGAGAGAGAGAGAGAGATAACTGCATTGCAGGAATAACTGTTCTGGCAGCACCACCGGGCACTGCATGAACGGATAGCCTCTTTCTTGAGTAAGCTCACTGTTCAAACACTTAGTTTCCTGGATCATCCAAGGCAGCAGGGAAATAGCGGCAAGTCTTCAATGAAAAACGTAGATGCATTCTGACCACCCATTCTCTGAGCCCACTCTTCATCATTTCCAGCACTGAATTAGCTGTTTAGCTTCCTTGGCTCCTTTGAAGCGCTCCCATTTCCCGATTCACAGTCTGAGAAATACCGATGAAGGTTGCTAGTAGAGATTTTGATATGATGACCCCAGTATTTGCTGAGTTACTTAAAAATATACAATATTTAGGTTTCATTTACTTTTATATAAAAGTAAATTAGCAGGCTTATGGTGCTATTTTCAAAGTGTTTCCAAGCAATACAGGACTGAGAATTGTTCTATGTTGATATTTGTAGGGGTACATTAGGGTCAGATCTTATTTGGGCTTACAAATCTGCAAAAGCTATAACTTCATTCAGTAACATTTATCGAATGCCAATTATGTGCCAGGCATATGAGGTGTAACTGAACAAACAAAAAATATCTGCCCTTGTGGGACATGCTAGCTATCATACTCAACCCACCCATTTTAATTATAACTTCAAAGTAATTCCACACCTGAGTCCAAAGGTTGATGTCAGAAGTTGTGCTTGTGTTAGACTTTCAGTAACCCTGACCAATTGCCTTTTGAAACCATATTTCCTTGATTGCCTTATCAATTCATCCTTTATGACTTCTGTATTGATCAAGTGTCATTGTCAGAGTACAAAATTAGACACTTGTCTTTGCAACTTTCTCATCCCCATTTACCATTTGTTAGGCAAGGCTTTTCAGAATGTAAAAAAAAAAAAGAAAAGAAAAGAAAAGAAAATTCAAGTTAAAGGGAAGCAAATTTCCTTCCGGGGAAGGAGGTAGACATGAGTCCCTCCATCCAATCTTTTCCACTCTCTCTCCTTTAGTTATGGAGGCATGATGTGGAATTATAAATTAGAAGGAAGCTATTTAGCCCACAAACATGTGCTCCAAGCAAGAACTGTAATTAAGTCAGATAAAACTAAAGGTAGCTGTATTAATTAGGATTTTTTTTGGTTACGAACAGCACATATAGAGAAAACCACCCATCACAAGCCCTGCTCTCTAGACACAATGTTCAGCAGATCTCTAGAACTTATTCACCTTGCACAACTGAAATTTTATGCTTTTTGACTAGCAATTCCCCTATTCTCCCCAGCAGTCCCCAACCCCAGCCCCTGGCAACGACTCTTTGCTTCCAAATGTTTTGACTGCTGTAGATACCACATATAAGTGGAATCATGTAGTATTTGTCCTTCTGGAACTGACTTATTACATTCAGTGTAATGTTCTCCAGGTTCATCCATGTTAACTTCCAAGCCCCCGTCTCTCTCTGTGTGTGTGTGTGTGTGTGTGTGTGTGTGTGTGTGTGCGCGCGCGCGCGCGCATGTGTGTGTGTTTTGATAGGAGCTGAAACATTCTGGAAACTAAGGAGGCATAGTTCTTAAAATGGACCATGTTGACTACAAAATTGATCACCCTATTTTCATCCAAAGTCCTACTGATTTCTTCCTTCCAGAGTGTAAACTTGCAGATTTCTGTCAGGATTAGGGAGAGAGTAATCTAGGCTATGAAGAATGCATAAGCAGTTTCGTATGTGTTGTATGGGAGGAGGTGGAAATACTCCTTAAAATGTCAAGTGTAGAAAAATTGGATACAAATGAATGCTAATCAATAAGGCTGAGGTTAAGTAAATTTTGGTATAGCCATATCATGACATATAACCTATAAAATCGTAATTTAGACAAATATTTTACATAGGAAAATGATCATAATGTATGGCTAAGTGAAAAAACGAGGGCTACAAAATGTATATCATATGATAGCACTTTTATTAAAACCAAAAACCTCTTCATTTTATAATTTCTATCTCTATAAATATTTCAGTTGTAAGATAAAGGATGTGTTAATAAAATAAACCATAGGCTAGAGCTCTTTAAAAATGAGATTAAAAAGTTGTCTTTAAAAAAAAAAACTGTCCCAACAGATGCAGCTGTAAGAAAATAGTTTTCCCAATCAATTTGTTTTTTTATTTTCTACTTTTAATCTGTGTACTTCAAAGATGCTTTTGCCACGACTATTTGGCCAAATTAATTAGTGGGCTGTGGTCGGGCATGGTGGCTCATGCCTGTAATCCCAGCACTTTGGGAGGCCAACGCAGTTGGATTGCTGGAGCCCAGGAGTTTGAGACCAGCCTGTGCAACATGGTAAAATCTCATCTCTACTAAAAATACAAAAATTAGCTGGGCGTGGTGGTGCATGCCTGTAATCCCAACTACTTGTAGGACTGAGGCAGGAGGATCGCTTGAGCCCAAGAAGCCGAGGCTGCAGTGAGCCGTGATTGCGCCAGTGTCCTCCAGCCAAGGCGACAAAGTAAGAGAAAAAAAAAAAAAGCAGGCTGTAAGCCCTTATGACACCAAGTTATCCAGTATCTGCAGTGACTGTTTCTGGCATGAATTGAGGAAACTCCGAGGAAACGGAAACTGAGGACCCTAAGACAGAAACAGAAACTGAGACAGAAATAGAAACTAAGGACCCTGAAACTCAAGGACACTGGAGCCAGGAGGCAGATAAAATGAAAATGGAAAGTGAGCAAGTTGCAAACATGTTTGGAAAAAACAGCATTTTTGTTTTATTCCAGATCACAGTAGGAGTGTTTCTAGGGTATTACATCATTAAGTATGAAAATGACTGTTGGCTTAAGATTGCTGTATATTTTTATAATGTTAAAGAAACCTCCTTGTAATCCTGCTTTATTAAGAGAATACTTATTGAGTTAAGAAGCAAAACAAAACAATTGCATCATATTATATAATAACTTTAAAAATCATCTCCTATTTTAGGCATTTTAGGTGGTTTCAGTTATTCACTATTATAAATAATTCCTATACGTGAATCCAGTTGGGAAAATACGCAGTGGGGCAATGAAGAACGGAATTCAACTACAAAAGGAACCAGGTCCCCAAAGTGGAATAAGAATGAAACTTTAACACAGAAACAGTGCCATGAGAACAACTCTAAGTAGTATTAGAGGATGGTCAGAAAAGGAGAGACCAATTCAGAGCACCCAGCCCAGGCAGCAAATCTGAAAATAAATGACAGGGAGCTTGTCATTGGACAATTGGCAGGAATATAGTGGAAGTGAGAAAGGAAATCCCTGAGCATGTTTATAAAGTCATACTGGGAACTCAAGTAAGAACAGGATATCATTTCCAATGGATTAACAGAAGTCCCCCACCCATTGCACTTTCTGTGTGACATCCTAACATACACGCAATGAGGTTGGGAGTAAGAATTTTTAGAAGCTTAAGATTTTAGATTTCTACAAATAGTAAATGCTTTGCCCTAACTCTAGGCAGTTTTGGGTGTTATATTTCTTGACCAATTTCAGATGTAATCCCTCAGTTTTAGGCATTGCCCTGCAACACTGTTTTGAAGTAGCCAGTGATGAAAAAGTTCCATAAACAAGGTGGTGGCTGGAGTTGGCTTACATGTAGGATCTCATCTAGCAGGCAGTAACTAAATGGAAATTTTTATATTAAATCTGGAAAGGTTTGGATCTTGACTCAAGATTACTGACTGTTTCACAGTGTAAATATTTTTAAGTAGGGAAGGGACATACTCAGTCAACAAATCTGTTGACTAGATTTGTTACATTAGAAACAATTATGAACTTGGGAACAGGGAACTGAAGGAAGTTTTATGAGCTGAGCCTAGAGAGGAAGGAGAATGAAAAGTGTATAACCAGAATACTAGGAAAAAAAAACTTTGTAAGGGGTAGGGGCTGGGAGTGTAAACAAATCACAGCAGTGTAAGGGGTAGGGGCTGGGAGTGTAAACAAATCACAGCAGTTATGTATAAAATGAAAAATCAGAAAAACCCAAATATTAAAAAAAAGAGTAATAAATAAACAAGTTTAGAAAAATATATAAAGAATTTATGTAATTATTTAACATGATATTTTAATGAATGGGGCATTATGTAATTCAATAGTTGTTTCTGGAAATAGAATTGCAGATGACTTTTTTTCCGTTACATATCTTCATTTTCCAATTTATCTATATTGCACATATATTACTTCGACAAATGGTGGAAAGGGAAGGAGTTTTTTTCTTCTTTGTAACTTGGCAGTATTATTTATATACTTTTTTTTTTCTTTTTGAGACAGAGTCTCACTCTTTCACTCAGGCTGGAGTGCAGTGGTATGATCTTGGCTCACTGCAACCTCCGCCTGCTGGGTTCAAACGATTCTCCTGCCTCAGCCTCCCAAGTAGCTGGGATTACAAGAGTGTGCCACCATGCCTGGCTAAGTTTTGTATTTTTAGTAGAGATAGGGTTTCACCATTTTGGCCAGGCTGATCTTGGACTCTTGACCTCAAGTGATCGGCCCCCCCTTGGCATTCCAAAGTGCTGGGATTACAGGTGTGAACCACCATGCCTGGCCTAAATACTTTGCTTTTTTTTTTATATCTTACCATAAATTTCCTGGCTCCCTACTATTTATTGAACAAGTTCTAGAGAAATGATTAGCTCTACCAAGGTTAGCATAAAAATATTTGTCTCTGAGTCACAGACTTTTCTTCTGTCATTCATTTACTCACCATTATCTGTATCTGGATTTAGTTCTGTTTTTTAAAAATGGGCTAACACATTATGCTGTAGTAAAGGGTTAAGGTTTATAATGTTTGCCTTGAAGTAAATACTCAGTAAACGTGCCTTTGTTTCATCATTGTTTCACTTATTTAATAAAATAAGCTGAATTAGAAGCCAAATGAATTCTAACTGTGACAACTAAAAATAAGTATAATATTTTCCTTTATTGTTTTCAGGTACTTAGTGAACTTTACCAATAGTCTTTCATTACTTTGGATTAGTTTACAGATAGGTATTAGTACCAATAATAGTAATTACAGGCTATCATATTTTTTGCACACATCTTAAATCCTGAAACGAGCTGAGTTTCTTCTCCGTTCTTCAGACATCAGCAGAAAGAGGTTCTTCCTTAATGGAAAATCTAATTCATCTTATCCTAGAGTTAAAAGAAAAAGTGAAAAAAAAAGTGTTTTACTTTGGGGAGATGCTCTTTAATCTCACTCATTTTAATCTAAATTTGACTTAATGTTCCCATTTGGTTGAACAGAATGTAAGAGCCATACCCACGTCATCCCAGTAACTGGAAAAGCCACTACTCAGTCTTCCAAACTCTCACGACTGACACATAGTTTCCAGACAAGGAGCATCAGCATCACCTGGGAGCTGGTTGGAAATGCAGAATCTCAGAGCCTACCCCAGACCTATGGCATCAGGTCTGAATTTTATTGAGATACCACGTGATTTGTAGGCACATTCAAGCTTAGTACCAGACTAGACAACGCCTTTTTTTTTTTTTTTTTTTTTTTCTGGCTTGTTTTATGGCACAGAATAAGAAGGAAACGATAAAAGGTTTTTTGTCATCAACCATTACCATTTGTTTGTTTGTTTGAGACACAGTCTTGCTCTGTCACCCAGGCTGGAATGAAGTGGCTCAATCTTGGTTCGCTGCAACCCCTGCCTCCTGGGTTCTAGTGATTCTCATTCTTCAGCCTCCCGAGTAGCTGGGACTAGAAGCGTGCATCACCCCACCTGCTAATTTTTGTATTTTTAGTAGAGACAGGGTTTTGCCATGTTGACCAGGCTGGTCTTGAACTCCTGGCCTCAAGTGATCTGCCTGCCTTGGCCTCCCAGAATGCTGGGATTGATAAAAGTAAATGAATAAAACCTCTTAGTGTGATGAAAGCAGTAGAAGATTCACAGTCTCTAATGGAAACATGCTTTAGAACTACAGTTGGACGATCATAATTCTAAATTTAAACTTTAAATGATGTGTATTATATGTTGGAAGAGTCCTAACTACCATGATCACATTGTTCATGAGAAAGAGAAAAAAAAAAGCACGAGTGAATTGTTTAAATTGACCATGAGATTTGACTGAAGTATCTAACTGAAGCATATTTTATGGGAGAAGTTCCTGGAAAACTCATTGTAAGCCACAGAAGACCTCTCTTTGAAAGTGTTAGTTCCAAGATGTATTTAAAATATATGCAATTTTTCATGATTCACACACTGAAAAGAGTAGGTTGCATTGATTTTCCCTCTATTGTTTGCATTTGGTTTAGTTTAGCAGTCTCAAGTAGAGAAAACAATATACTTTTGAGGGAGCGGGGGAGGTATGTGAGTTAGCAGCAAGAAGATTCTAAACCTAAAGAGGCATTTAACATATACTTACTGGTTCATTCATTCATTGGTCATTCTCATGACTAATAGCAATTGAGCACCTGTTGTACCAGGCACTGTGCTAAGTGCCAGATACACAGTGGTGAGTAAAAGACAGTCCCTGCCTTCATGGAGCTTGTGATAGTGTATTAATTACTACTGACAATTTTAGAAAATTATCTGTGGATTTTGTTCATCTATGATATTTCTGTGCCTAGCATCTTCCTTTTTTCACTGATAACGAGAAAGGTCTAATTCTTGGTTATCAGTCTGACATCTAGATTGATCAATTGTGATTGTACAGCAGATAGTAGCAGCTCATATGATATGACAAAAATGCAGCTGGCAACCTAAAGAGGTGAAGCTAAGCTATCTGTCAATAACAGTTACATTTTGTAACATGACCACTATAAGGGCTTGGCACCAGCTGGAAGTAAATGGAGGGCCGAGGGCTCCTAGGAATGCAGTGTGGATGAGTAAAAATGAGCGGGAGCCATGAAATGTCTCTTAAATTGTATGGATGAAAGGAATGCAATTATGGTCAAAATGAAACCTGAATCTTTTATCATATGTCCCTAATCGATAAATTGGGTAATTAATTGGACTTATATGTCTTTAAATAAAGGAAATTTGTTATTCAATAGGTCTCATAATAGGCATGCAGAAAACCATTCATCTTTAAAACAAATTACTTAGTGAGTTTTCTTGGAATGATGGAATTACCTACGATAAGTGGAACCTAAGAAATTGAGTGGAAAGTTGAGATAAATAGCTTCCAATAGACAAGTGGCCCAGACTTTGGTTGAATCAACCATTACTGCAGGACACTAGTATCTTTGTGGATTATGAAGGTAGCTGCCTCCCAGATTCCTAAAACCCTGTGTTCCCATATCCCTGGCATTTGTACCTATTTAACCACAACACTACAACTGTTGCTTTTTGCACAGTGACTAGATTATCTGCCGTGATGGCCCAGTAGTCTTGGGCCATAGTCTTGGAACTGAGGGCATAGTCTTGGAAGCCAGATGGACATGGGTTTGTAGTTCTGGCTCCACTACCTCCTAGACATGGGATTGTAGGTAGTGAAGTGTCTCTATGCCTTAGTTTTCTTACCCAGAAAATGGAGATTATAATCCTCAACTCATATGATCATGTGGATTACATAACTATATAAAACACTTGCTGCCATGCCTGGCACATGATAAATGGTGGCTACTACTACTTTATCATCATTAAACCGAAGTCTTCCTAACTGGTTCCTGTTTGCTACATGAATCCCCTTTAGTAACAAGTTTTGTTTTTGTTTTTTTTAACCTCTTGTCTCAGTTTCTCAGTGGCTGTATTTTCCCCCTTACTGAGCCCATATCCCAGAGGCTGCATCCCTGGCCTCCTGGGGCCCCTACTCCTGTGTGACACTTTTATTGAACTTTCATCTCACTTCAGGTTTAGTAGACATCCTAGCTTGTGGGCACTTGGCTCAGAGACGCAGTAGTGTCTAGTGGTTGAATGCATGGACTTTGGAGACAGACTGCTTTGGTTCAAATCCCAGCATTCTACTCTTTTACTTGCTAGCTGAGCGACCCGGGGTACATTATTTCACCTCCCTGTGCCTCAGTTTCCTTATCTGTGAAATGAATTATACTTGTTTCATGTAATTGTTGTAGATATTAGATAGAATATTATATACTATTGTGTGTGCATATATTATATAATATATAAATATATAATACATAAATATTATATATAATATATACATAGTATATAATACATAAATATATACTATATAATTATATACTACATAAATATTATATACTATATAATTATATACTATATAAATATTATATACTATATAAATAGTATATAATATATAAATATTATATACTATACAAATATTATATACTATATACATATATAGTATATATAGTATGTATAGTATACTATATACATATATAGTATATATATATGTATAGTATACTATATACATATATAGTATATAAGTATTATATATACTATATACATATATATATATATTATAGTATACTATATACATATATAGTATATATATATGTATAGTATATATATACATATATAGTATATATAGTATAGTATACATATACATATATAGTATATACTATATATACATATATATATATGTATATCATATATAATATTTATATCATATGAATATTATATACTACATAAATACTATCTATAATACATAAATATTATGTTATACATAAATATTATATAATATATAAATACTATATATAATATAAATATATACCACACAAATATTATATAATACATAAATATATGATATATAAAAATATATAATATATAAATATTATATATAATATATAAATACTATATACTATATAAATATATAATATATAAATACTATATACTATATAAATACTATATACTATATAAATACTATATAATATATAAATATTATATAATGTATATTATATACTAGATAAATAGTATATAATATATAAATATTATATAATGTATATTATATACTAGATAAATATTATATAATATATAAATATTATATAATGTATATTATATACTAGATAAATATTATATAATATATAATTATATAATGTATATTATATAATATAGAAATATTACATATATAGAAATATAATGTATTATATCAACATAATATATATTAATTACAAATTATATAATTATATTATATAATATATAAATTACAAATTATATAATTATATTATATAATATATAATTATATATTATAATATATACTCTGTCACCCAGACTGGAGTGCAGTGGTGCGATCTTGGCTCACTGCAACCTTTGCCTCCCAGGTTCAAGGAATTCTTCTGCCTCAGCCTCCCAAGTAGCTGGGATTACAGATGCGTGCCACCATGCCCAGCTAATTTTTGTATTTTTAGTAGAGATGGGTTTTCACCATGTTGCCCAGGCTGATCTCAAATTCCTGACCTCAGGTAATCTGCCCATCTTGGCCTCCTAAAGTACTGGGATTACAGGTGTGAGCCACTGTGGCCAGCCTATTATTGTATATATTAAGAATCTAGACTAAGCAATGCTATATAGCATTGCTATTATGATTCATATCTTGGTTGAGTACCAAGCTTGAATTTTATCTACTTCTCCCTTTGGACCCAGGGTAATCTCCCAATTTTAGGTCTATTTTAAGGACTTATGTACCTAGCTGCATGACCCTAGATTATCTGGACACTGTGCTTCCATATGAAGACCTCTGTCTTCCCCACATCCTGCTACAAATGTTCCTGGCAGACACTGGCTATGACAGTGAGGAATGAGTAATATTTTGTTCCAAAGTTTATGTCTGCTGAGGAACAACAGTATCCTGGGCCCAGTCTGGTGGCCTCATTCCTGGAATAAGGTGAAACTAAGAGTGCCAAGCAAAGTAGCTGCCATGTTCTTCCTTCATTCCCTCATTTCCCTTTCCTCATTTCCACTGGGAAACAATGATCCTCTATCTAGAAGAAAAGACAGTGCAGGATTCCTCTTCACAAAGGCCGACTGTGTGCTAGAAAGTCTTGTGTAGATAGAAAGTAAAGAAAAAAGTCATAAGTGTATCCCAGAGGATGAACTTCTGTTGTATCCATGGGGGTAAATTGGTTAGATGAATTTTTACAGTTTGAGTTCCATAGTGACATAATATGGCCAAACTAAAAGCAATCCAAGAGAAACAAGTCAAAGGAAGGTTGAATTCTGATTGAGATCTTTAAACAGAGCATATACCACTTGTCTGTAAACTGCAAAGTCCCCTCAGGGGCTTCAATGGAAGTCAAGGGCATCAGGGTCTTACTTCTCAGTCCTCCGTGCCTGGAATAGTACTTGGCTTGTGGCAATAAACTGTTTCTGCTCGGCAGTCCTGGCTTCAAGCCTTCCACAGGGAGATTCCTTTTAATGCTCCAAATCCCTTCCAGGGCCACTGTCAATATTTTTTAAAGCAAGAAAATAATTATTAGCATATTCTCTTTTTAGCACAGTATTTTAAAGATTTTAATTGGTGATTTTTTTTTAATTTATTTGGGTGTGGGTTTATTTGGTTTGACTAATCAAACCACCCAAATCTTTATCATTTGTTTAATCTTTTATTCCATTTCATTCATTCAACTATTCTCTATGCAATTAAACTTCTACAGTGCTCTTAGATCATTTAACTTGCCCCTAAACAAACAGATAACAGAAACATCCATAACAAAACAGAAAGGGATCAGGAATAAATAACAGTTAATAAATAGAATTCATTTAGTCAACTTTATCTGATTCTGATTTAATTCCTACAGTAAGAGAAAATATTTCTAAAGATAATAGGACCAAAAATCACTACATTAATTCATCCAATAGTTAATTCATCCAACAGATCCAAGAATCCTCTAAAAGCCACAAACTAGATGCTGTCTAATCTCCCCTTGAAAAAGAGCAACAATAAACTCACTGGATCCTGCGTTTTAAAAATCATTGCAAAATACCTGGAAAGTGATGTTTACCCATTGATAATTACAGTTCTTGGACCCTGATGCCTTTCAATAAGGTTTAGCAAAGATTGGCAGTTGGTTATCCTCCATATCCTAAAATCACCTGGTTACGTTTTGAGACTCAGCAAACAAGCACGTGGTGAATGTCCACTGCGTAGAAAACTGCAACCCAAGTCTAGTAAGTTGGTGAATTTGGGTGAGTTGCCGTAAGTTGTTTTTCCCATTTCTAAGGCTGCAAATATTAATGCCAAACATTCTTCATAGATCCAAGGCTGCCCACTGGCGTCCTCACCGATATTTGATCCCTCTCTAAAGGGTTCCATAGCAAGTAATTACTAGCAGCATAGTCTCTGGGTTCAGAGGAGATCTGGGTTTTGATCTTAGTTCTACCATCTATCAGTTATTTGATTTTGACCAAGTTATGTAACCCACTATGTCTTAATTTCCTCAATTTTGAAATAGGGATGATAATATCTACTTGAAGGATTATTGTAGGATTTAGATGAGATGGCTGTAAAGTGCTTTGTACTCAATGAATGATAGCTTTTTTTTACAGGGAGAATGATTTTACTATCCAAGCATGGACTCAGATTCCGTGACTGAAGGTACAGTCATTGAACTGACTTGCCAAACTGTATGTCAATACCTGCCTCTCCTTTTCCACTCCTGAGTGGAGTAGCTGAAGTTATCTGTCGAGATTAGTTTCTCTCTTCTTCAAAGACCTTCAAGGAAGATTCCACAATCTCCTTCTGTTTAAGACCTTAGAAAGTTTAAGCTGTACCTTCTATCTAACCTAAATCTTCCCCTGCCATGCAAGCCAGTTTCCTCTTCTATCCTGTTCAGAGATACAAAAGGGCTGCTCCCGAACTGAAGGAGATAGAGACACAAACCACCCTTCAAAAAATTCATGAATCCAGGAGCTGGTTTTTTGGAAAGATCAACAAAATTGATAGACCACTAGAAAGACTAATAAAGAAGAAAAGAGAAAAGAATCAAATAGATGTAATAAAAAATGATAAAGGGGATATCACCACCAATCCCACAGAAATACAAACTACCATCAGAGAATACTATAAACACCTGTATGCAAATAAACTAGAAAATCTAGAAGAAATGAAACAGTGTGGTCATTCCTCAAGGATCTAGAACTAGAAATACCATTTGACCCAGCCACCCCGTTACTGGGCATATACCCAAAGGATTATAAATCATGCTGCTATAAAGACACAAGCACACGTATGTTTATTGTGGCACTATTCACAATAGCAAAGACTTAGAACCAACCCAAATGTCCATCAATGATAGACTGGATTAAGAAAATGTGGCACATATACACCATGGAATACTATGCAGCCATAAAAAAGGATGAGTTCATGTCCTTCATAGGGACATGGATGAAGCTGGAAACCATCATTCTGAGCAAACTATCACAAGGACAGAAAACCAAACACTGTATGTTCTTACTCATATGTGGGAACTGAACAATGAGAACACATGGACACAGGGTGGGGAACATCAAACACCAGGGCCTGCCGGGGGTAGGGGAAGGGGAGAGGGATAGCATTAGGAGACATGCCTAATGTAAATGAGTTAACGGGCGCAGCACACCAGCTTGGCACATGTATGCATATGTAACAAACCTGCATGTGTGCACATGTACCCTAGAACTCATAGTAAAATAATAATAAAAAAAAAAAAAAAAAGAAAAGGACTGCTCCCCAGCCTCTGGATAATAAACTCTAAAACTTAGTAGCCCATGACATTTATATTTAATACCCCCAGTGCATGATACCCTGTGGGAGACCAAGGAAATAGATTTGGACTTGTGGTTGACACTTTGTGAAGATCCAGTATGTGGAAAGCAGTATAAAATCAGGAAGCAGAACCGTGCAGACAAATCACATCAAATTAGATGGAAGAATTGTACTAGTTAAGTGTAAGTGTGCTCTTTCACATGCAATCACAAGAATGTCATAGAGAAAAACAGCTGAAATATAAATGCCGATGCCCAGAAATGCATTAGAAACTCTCAAAGCAAAATATGGTTATGCATAAATATTTGCTATATTCAGGGATAATGGTTGCGGGAAAAAAATAATAGCCCTTCACACATGTGAAGTGATGTTTGGGTGAAGAAGTTCCAGAAGGTGATATATTTGACTGTATAAAAGCAGGTCTAGAAAAAACCATGGATGCTCTCTGAGGCAGCTGCTTCTTTTAAGAGAAACTTAACTCCCTCAGCTCAGGGCATGTGCATTCCAGAAGGAGGAAGGCAGACAAAGCCAGAAAGACTTCAAGTGTCGACTCCTCTCAACTGAAAAAGAAAAGGGCAGCAGGCACAAAGGGAGAAGCTAGAAGAAAAGAATCAAATCTGTTCTTGAGGCTCAGAATCCTCTAGAGATTCCTCTTCTCTCTTCCCTTCTCATGCTTCCAACACTTTCCACTCAGAAACCTTTATAGGTGTATTTTTATACTGAATTTTAAAATGACTAAAGCATGCCTTTATGCCCAAAATTTTAGCCAGTAGGACCTAGTCTGGTTTTATAGGGAAGGTAAGCTCACACCTTAAAAATATTTGAGTTCCTTTCAGCTCTCTCTGGACTGTAAATAATGAACATTGGAGCTTGAAAAGCCAGTTTAGAGCCATATCATCTGTACTTCTCTTGTGCAAACAAGGTCAGAGGTTTGACTAGAGAAAGAAAAATATAAGTACTTTTAATTTATGTCTGGCGACTCCTAGGCTCTATAATTGTCTCGACATGCCTTTGGTGTCTAGCAAATTCCTCCTATATTGTAGGTGCAGAAAACATTTTAATTGAATGAAATAATGAATAACTCGTGTCTAGTAAATTCCTCCTATATTGTAGGTGCAGAAAACATTTTAATTGAATGAAATAATGAAATATATCCACACTTGCTTGGCAACATTTTGCACTTTCTAAGCTTGTACTAATGTAGTAAATAAACTGGATTCAAAATTAAGTTTCCATGTATTAAGGCACATGTAGAACTCATTAATGTATTTGGCAATACACTTCTGAAATTCATTGGAAAAGGAAGTATTATGTAAGGGGAAAATTAATAAGTTTATTAATCAAATTTTTCATGACTACTATAACCTTTGTAGGTTTTAGCCAGAAAAATACAAAAGCCCTTGCAACTTGAAAACATTAAATTAATACATCACTTTATTTCTGCAAAGTCCTTTATAGAATAGAAATGCAGAAATAGTTTTAAAATAAACAATACAATAAATGTACTAGTTCCATAATGAATGTCTCACAAGCCTACATTTTTCTTTTTTCTTTCTTCTTTTTTTTTTTTCTTGAGACAGAGTCTTGCTCTGTTGTCCAAGCTGAAGTGCAGTGGTGAGATCTCAGCTCACTGCAACATTCGCCTCTTGGGTTCAAGCAATTATCCTGCCTCAGCCTGGAGAGTAGCTGGGACCACAGGCGCACGCTACCAGGCCTCAGAGTCTTGCTCTGTTGTCCAAGCTGAAGTGCAGTGGTGAGATCTCAGCTCACTGCAACATTCGCCTCCTGGGTTCAAGCAATTATCCTGCCTCAGCCTGGAGAGTAGCTGGGACCACAGGCGCACGCTACCAGGCCTGGCTAATTTTTGTATTTTTAGTAGAGACGAGGTTTCACCATGTTGCCTGGGCTGATTTCGAACTCCTGACCTCTTGTGATCGGCCCACCTCGGCCTCCCAAAGTGTTGGGATTACAGGCATGAGCCACTGCACTCAGCCAATTCTACATTTTTGTTTTCGAAAAGTTGTAAGGAAAGGAAAATCTTCAGGAAATCACTGAGAATATATGAATGATGGACATTAGCTAAATTCTTCCTTATCCAGAAAGTTCTATAAGTTGCCCAAATTCCATTTTATCTGATTAAAAGATCTGATGAGAAAATTACACTCCTTTTTTTTTTTTTTTTTCAGTATGAGGTTAACCTTTTCAAGTAGACCCAGGTTGTTTGTCCTTATCTGATAGGAATGTGGAAAGCCTCTGAAACCCGTTTTACCTCAAATTTGAACCTGGAGGCTAAACTGAAACTGAACTTAGAGAAAACTAGCAACATTTCTTTTTTTTTAACTGAATAGAACACTATTTGCTACTAAATCAATTTCAAATCTCTGTTCTTCTCCGAAGGCATAATCTTATGTTTTAAAGAGAGATGGAAGAACCCAATGACTAAGAGCAAGAACATTAGCTTCTGACAAATCTGCATCCAGGTATCAGTGTGACATTGGACAAGTCACCCCCTGAGCCTCAGCTTCAAGTTCTTCAAAATGTGAATCAAAAGAGCATATATCTCACTGGTTATTGCAAGAATTAAAAGAGATTATTTGCAAAAAATGTATCATGTGCAGAAGAAACTCTGTAAATGATAACCATTATCACTATTATTATCACCATAATTCCCAACATCAACATCATCATATAAAAAG